AAAAGAGAAAATGACCAACCAGTTCAGATACTGTCTTTAGGCCCTTGCTGTCAAGCCTGTGGGATTAAATCTCTGAATAACAGAAATTAAGGAGGAAGCCTGTTGTGTCCGCCGAAAACTAAAAAAATAAAGATAAACATTAAAAAAAAATTTCTCTCTTTCTCTCTCTCTCCCTCTCTCTCTCTCTCTCTCTCTCTCTCTCTCTCTCTCTCTCTCTCTCTCTGTATTAGCTAACACTACAACCATAAGACAAATTCTTCAAGAGGGTTTAACAAAAGAACTTTTACTTTTTCAGTAGATTTCATTTTCAAGTTTATATAATAATTTTTAAAAGTGCTAATCATAAAATACCCAGAATAATATCCCCCTTTTGCTCTGAAAGTACTTTTAAGCGAATAGTTATATAATCATGCATCAAAACTACTCCAAAATGGCCACTGTAATTTCAAGTTTTCCTTAATGCAGTTATGCATTTTAGAAAGATAAATGCAAGAAAGAAAAAACAGAAGCCAAAGTCATTCCAGGATGGTAACACAAGTTTATGATGAATCTATCAATGTATTAGCTAACACTAAAACCATTGAATGTTAACCGTAAAAATTAACAGGCCAGGATTGGTAAGAGAAGCTCTTTCCCAAAGCTGTCTCTCAAACATGGACAAAATTTTTAAATTCTTGTAGACACAGTGTAGCCATTTTATATAGGATTGTTAGTATCAAATCAATGCTTTAGCAGATCTCCACCAATGAAAATCAAAAATAGTACAAATCTAACCAAATAACCAAAAAGTCCTGAGAATCTTATTCTTACAACCAATAAAATAAATATCACCTAGCTTTCAAAGCTCAACAAAAAGAATCATAACTCAAGATAAGCTCTAGACTTACTCCTTCATCATAAACAAAGATCCCCCAGAGTCTCAGAGAATTCAGTGAAGTGCAATGTAACCAATATGAGAATACCAATGGCGAGGGTTCTTGCATAAGTCTTAGTAAGACCTTCATAACTATCCTAGTCCTAATACAAAGACCACCAGAAACCTGATGATCAAAGCAAGCTGAATATATTAAAGTTTCTGAGCAAGAGAGGATATCACCTTGTCAGTGTAAGAGAAGAACCTACCCTTCTGAATTTTTAGCTGGGACCCCCCCATAACAGGATTCAGATTAATAAGAGAAAAACAAATTTATTACCATGTATACCTCATGTATATATACATGGCCAATACCCAAGGTAAAGTGAGTAATTCTCAAAGACATGGTTATAAGTCTGGCTTGTACTGCCTCTTTAACATTGAACAATTATCTTAAACTTTTAGTGACAAGACAGCAGATATATGGGAAACTAATGATAGATAAAAGCTAATAAAGTTTGTTCTGTAGATACCTCTAGTTCCATCTTCAGACCAATAAGTTTGTCCTTCCTTGTGGAGAGGAAAGGGGGGACACATTTGGAAATTTATGTCCTATTTTTTGTAAATAAGGGGAAAGCAGAGAGCTGTTCTTGTATCTGTTTCTTCTCAAATGCTGTCAGCTCAAATATCATCCTTATACCAAATTGGTATATTTTGGAGTGACATATTCCACTGCCCTTCAACAAATCTTCAGTAGTGTCTCAAAATGAGGAAGTTACAGAAAGGTACTTAAACAGTTTGAGAACTAGGGTTGATTATGGGCTGGTTTTAAGACATAAGATAATAAGTAAGGTCCATGCCGAATTAGAATTTGTAAAGTAAGTGACTTGCTGGAACAATTAGTCTTATCTTTGGAGCACTTAAGGCCATGTGAAGTTACTCTTAATCAATTTGTTCTTGGTTCTATGTCAGAGGATATAGATCTGAACAAACTTAAAAAATTTAAAAAATTTTAACTTAAGATAATTTGAGTTACATGTCATAGTTTGGTACAAACATCTGTTATGCAAGTAACAGTATGGTTTTGCAAGTTGATGTCTGATTTATTTCTCAAAAGGAAAGTATTTGTAAGTAAGGCAGCCAATTATAAGGCTTTCACAAAAATTCATACATAATATAATGAATGCTTGGAACAGGGGACTTAGGCTGTTACTGTGGAATTTGGAGGAATGAAAAATGTAGGGATAAGGAGGAAATAGATTAGAATCTTAATAATCAAGGCCTTTGGGAAGAAAGTAGACTATAAAGAGAGGAAAGGGTTCAAAATTGAATATTTGAAAGCTGGGAAGGTAATGGCACCAGTTACAATGCCAAAAAAAGAAGAAAATTGAAATTTAATATGTTGTAGATAGAAAATGGAGATGTTGAGGGGGTTTTGTTTTTGTTTTATTTTTCTTTCTCTTTTGTATTTTAACTATAATAAATGTTAGGTATCATTTCCAAAATGACTAGAAGTATAAGAGAAAATAAGTTTTAGTTATAAACAGGAAAGTTGTGAGTTTTTCCTAGTATATTTAGCTTTAGAATCTTCTATTTAATTCTTTGTGTTTTCTTTAAAAATAACTTAAAATATACTGTAAATTCCACACCCTCATTTAACCAACTATTATTAGGTGAACTTTTCAGACATATAACTCATCCTCTAATGATCTCTAATTCTTCTGTTATTTCTGGAACTGCAGCAAAATGAGAAATGAATATGAATGCAAAGAAAACACCCCAATATGGAGAGAATCTTACTTAATTGGTAATAAGTACCCTGCTGTGAGGGAAAGGAAAAAAATGTAACCATACAAGTTAAAGACATACAAGCCTTGACTTTTTAAAATTAGAGTGACTTCAATAATATGTTAACTAAGATCATAAAATTAATCTATATTAGCGTAGCAACTTTTCAAGCACTGCCTACCCATGACCAAGGATGAAAGTGGGTTGCAGTGTCACAAAGCATGTGATTAAGTTAAATCAGCTTAGTTTTTAAAGGGGAGAATTTCAGGTGATTCTACCCGAGATACTCATAGTTTTTCTTTAATCTATATAAGGGGACAGGTGACTACAAAGCTACTTTTGCAACATAAAGCCAGAAGTCTGACCCCATAGTATCACTGAGTCAGAATAAAGATGAAAGGGGCTTGCAGTTACTGTTTTAAGAGAACTGCTATATGAAGCCCTAGGTATCGGCCGTATGACTATCTTAAGCTTCTGGGGTGTGTAGGCTTGCCTTCGACCTCCTAAATAAATATTTCAGATTTTCTCACTTCAAAGAAGTACTTTTTAGGCTGGAGATGCAGCTTAACAGTAGACTACATGCTTAGGTAAGGCCCTGGGTTTAATTCTCCACATCACAAAAAGAAAAACAATACTTTTTTTAAACCTTGTGACATTTCTGAAATTAAAGTGTCTCTTTTAATTGGTTGTTTTTAGTTATATACAACACTAGGATACACCCTGATACTATCACAAAAGCATGGAACACAACCTGCTCAAATTCAGTCCCCAGCACTCCCTCATCTGCCACTGCTCCATCCCATTCCCCTTCCTCCATCCATTGATTGATCTCTCTTCAATCTATTTACATTTTTAAAATACATACTTTTAAAAAAAATTACTGTCCTTTGGATACACCTGATTCTGGGACCCACCATGCCACATCCACTCTTGCACATATGAAAATTTGGTCAAATTCATTCCACTGTTCTTCCCTTTTCCTGTCCCTTTTTCATCCTCCTCAATCCCCTTTGCCTACTCTACTGATCTTTACTCTATTTTGATAAAATTCCCTCTCCCCTTTCTCTCCCTTTCTCTCCCCCCTCTCTCCCCCTTTTTTAACCCTACCACTCTTTATTTTGATGTACCTTCCGCATATCAGAGAAAACATTCTACCTTTCTGAAGTCAAAGTGTATTTTATACCTAATGTTAAAGTTATATTTTGTGTGTGTCTCTGCGTTAAGGACTCCCTTTCTTAAGTACTTTATAATCTAATAGTCTATGTTCACATTGTAAACTAATTCCATGTGTATGTGCATCTAAGAATAACAGTATAAGAACAACTAGGAAGAAAATAGAGCCCTTTCAACATCATATATCATAAAGAAGGAAAAAGAAACACATTTATTGTATATTTATCTGCAAAAAAACTGAGTACTCATTATCTCAGTGCTAAGACGTACCATGAAGATAGTTGTTATAATTATTTTACAAATGAGAAAATTAAGAAAAAAGAGTTTGGGTCTGAATCCAAAGCTCCTCCTATTATACGCTCTATCTTATTGGAACTTCATACCATAGAATAGCATTTTCTGATTTTCTCCAAGACATACTAATAATAGATATTAAATATCTAAAGATCAACTAAATTCAGAGTAACAGAATTATGAATGTGAGCTAAGTATTACTTAAGTTTGTCTCAGAGACGAGACATCTGCCTCCTTTAGAAAGGTCTAATTTCTTTATTACTGTTGATCCCACTTCAGAAAAAAGAAAAAAATTTTGAAAAAAATGATCATTCTCTTCAAACTTTTGAATATAATGTCACACATTCAGATGTTCTCATTGAGAGATATGTTGGAAAATAATTTTGGGAGGACAAAAGATCATTGTTTTTTGTTTTTGGACTAATTACTAGGAAGGCCCAGTATCTCCAAAACATTATTGTCAAATTGTAGCCAAAGATGGTGTGATATTTGATCTGCTGTTCAACACAGTGGAAATCTCTGTTGTTGCAGTTGTTGTTGTTGTTTTAAATTCTTTAAGAACATTTTCTCATTCTCCTTTACTTGAATATTTTTCCAAAGATCCTTTGAACGTATGATGCCAGATACTGTTATAGATGTTAGGAGTGCCGAACTATGCTTAGTACATCTGGGGCTCTTGTTTTGTTTGGTTCTGTTTATTTTGCCATTAGAAATAGGCAACATTATTCTAAGAAAATAATTAGTGGTGTTTTTTTGGCTTTTAGCTGCTAAATCCTGAAGATGACCTCTTACCAGGAAAGATTAGAGACAGCAATCGTTCAACCCTCCTAGCAACAATTCAGGAACATGGTTACCCCACAATCAACTTGGGAATTGTTGGAGACAAGTAAGTATTGTATTTTATTTTGAAAAGTTGTTATTGTTACTACAAATTTAACTTTAAAACACTAACTAGTTGGAATTGCTGCCAAAGAGAAAAATCTAATACCATAATTTTTCACTGATCACATTCTTCAGAGGCTAAAGAATTATAGAGGTGTTTATGTACTTTGAGAATAGACATTTTCTTGGAATGTTATTGTAATATTTTACTTTGCTATGGATGTATTAGGTGTACAGAGATTTTTTTTTATAGTGTTTGCTTTATGCCAGGACCTGCCAACTGATCCAAGGCAGCTATAAAGTTTCATCTTACTGGTTCTTGCCATCACTCCAGAAAGTGGCTCAGAGTAGCAGGAATGAGTTTTTTAGAAAGAATAGGAAAAGTAAAAAGGGGATACTCCCAAGAGAGTAGATTCTTTCAGAGAAAAGAAGGATTGCATGCTCTTTCTTCTCTCCAATTTTATTGGGAATCCCAAGTAAGTTTCCAGAGTCTCACCCAGATCCATTCTCTGACTTTTGACTGACAATGGGATTGCATCAGAGTTTCAAGCCCCCACTGTCCATGGCAAAGATCCAAGACAACTCTGGGTCACATTAGCCCATGCATACATGTTCTAACTGGAACCTATTCTGACAAATTTTTATAGTTAAGGGGAATTATCCTTTTGTCCCTGAGTTCTGGAATCTAGTCTGTATAGAGTCACAAAAGTCCCCCTCTTCAGGATAACCTATCAGCATTTCAGAGCTGCATTTCTCCTGCAGACAAATGTGTGGTAGCCCATGCCTGTGATCTCAGCAATTTAGCAAGGCCGTAGCATCATATTGAGACCCTGTCTCAAAAATAAAAAAGGGCTGGAGATGTAGCTTAGCGGTAAAGCACCACTGGGTTCAATCTCCATTACCATAAATAAGCAAGCAAGCGTGAAGGAGTCAACACAGAAGGTCCACTTTATAGAATTATTCCTTTAACTTCATGTTCCCACTACTCGTGACTGTCTGTTACCTATCAGAACTACTAATGATAGTGTTATTCCTATTTACACTTTCACTGGTTTCAAGAAATACATGAAAAACACAGGTGAGAAGAGTAAAAGAGATGGTCAAATTTTTCATTATTAATTTTTTTAAAATTTAAGTATAATAGCTTTGTAGGATTTTTATATTGAGTTTTGAATCCTTGAGTAACACAAGTTTCTCCCAACTCCACCTACTGAAAATACAAACAAAAGCAGAGTGACTATAATTGCCCATATTTAAGAGTATATTATAACGGATAATAGAGGCGGATGCCAAAGCATGGTATGGGAGTAACCAGGAAGTGAGAGCTGAGACTGGAGGAGGATGGATCAAGCCCAGGCGACTGTGGGAAGGCTTGGGGAAACACCTGAATATGTGGAATCCCAGTGCCGGGCACCCAGGGCCAAATCCACATCCCCCCAACTTGGAGTACCCTGGAGGTTCCAATCCTGGGTATCCACCATATCCACCACCTGTCAATCCAGCTTTTCCTCCTGGTCCCTGTCCCCCAGGTCTTCCCCAGGGGATGCCATGTCTTCCTCCAAATGTTTCCCCTTATCCTGTTCCACAACCAGGATATCCAGGACATCAACCCTCAGGTCACTATCCTCCTCCATACCCACCACCTGCCCCTGGTATGCCTCCTGTGAACCCCATGGCTCCTGGCATGATAGGCCCAGGAATGATAATGGACAAGAAGATTCGGAAGAAAATGAAGGAAGATCATAAAAAGATGCACAAACACCACAAGCATGGCAAGCATTCCTCCTCTTCCAGCCGTGACTCTGACTGAATACAGGGCCTGGACCCTCCCCTCAAGTCTCACCAGTTCTGCTGTCCCATCAAGCTACAGCTGCCGTGTTGTACTGGGAGAATTTAGCCCTTGTGCCCCTCCATCCGGTCCCCACCTGAGCCTTACCCTGCTGTTCAGTCCTGACTAGCTAGGGAAAATGGGAAGAGAATTGCAATGGGCTAGCAAAGGCAGCCTTCTCACTGCTTAATAGATTTTATAGCTGAAAAGTTTAGCAGGGAAGCTGCTTTTTTGAAGATGGTGAGACCTCTGAGCTAAATGCTGAAGACAAGTATAAATTCTGTAAAATGTGATCTTTTAAAATTTCATTTTAAAAGGTGGGTTTGTGGAAATTTCACTATGATGAAAAAACTGTACATTTTTGTAATGATGGCACACTGGGGTGATTTAGTGGCAAATATATTTCCCAGCAGTCCTTTTATTGATTGTACTAACAGCAAGGCTGCTGGGAAGTAGAGTCCACTTGGCTGATGATCTCCGACTGCCCTTTTGTAAGCTAATCTCTACTCCTTAACTCAATATGCTATCTCAGGTCCTACTCTCATTCTTCAACTCTGGGTCCAAATAAAACTATTTCTCCTGGAAAAAAAAAAAAAGAGTATATTATCCCCACCTACCAAATTAATTCAGCCCTCTTGTAAATTTCCCAAATATTTCTATGACTCTTTAGTGGTGTCTCACATGTGATCAAAAGCAAGTCTGCTTTCTGAGCATCCCACTACTAACACAACACTTATAATAATAAGAGTTATTATTAAATCTTTGCCATTTGTTATTTACCTGGATTTTTAGTTCTGAAGAAGTCCACCAGCCAACTCAGAACCCATACAGTGTACAAGTTACGCAGTATCAGGGTCGGTAGTCCTAGGAAAATAGTAGAAAAGACCTACTACAAGGAAAGGGAATTAGTCTGTTCTTTTACATAAATTTCAAGCACCTAGAACTTATCCTGATGCAGACATAGCTTTAAAGAACACAAAAATCAACTTCTGAAAAGAGACAAGATGAATCTAAGAGTTTTAAAAGCCAGAAAGAAATAAGGCAAGCAGGCCCCAAACTGTAGAAAACAAACTCACTAGATTTAGTACAGTTGTTTTCCAACCAACGATGGTGCTAGCCCTGCCTCCAGTGCATTAATAAGCTCTAAGAAATATTCTAAGATAAAAGAAGCTTTCTTTTTCTTCTTAGCCCTAAACTGCTCTGGACTATAATTCTGTCCATTCTTAATTCTATTGTTAGACTTTTGGGTTTTTTTTAAAGTTACTGTATTATATTGACATTTTTCTATAAAGGCCAAACACCATTGAAAGGTTCTTATTTTGGTATGATAATATTTAATTGTTTGGAATCCAAACTGTTGATTTATTATGAACATTTCCTAATAATTAATGTTGCTGTTACGTTTAACTCCAAAATGTACCTTCAGTATAGCCGTAAACAACAACAAACTATAAGCAGGTATAGACAATTCAAGAAATGTGCCAGTCTCTACTGTTTACCCTTTTATTTGATAGCAGTGCTTTATATCAAACTGAGAACAATTTTTTGGTTTGTTTTTTTTTTTAAGCAACATGCAAATTTAGGTTTGTTACTCTTAGAGATCCAAGGTGAATGGTTTAGAATGCAGAGGTAGAATGTGGGAGAAAAGAATTTATAACTATTTTAATGGAAATTTGCGCTAGGACTTTAGCAAGGAAAACAAGTACATTTCTCCTACAGCCTTTTGATATTCTGTGTAGGTTGGCTCTCACTTCATTCTTTCTCATAGCCTTTTGCTAATGAATGCAAATGTTATATATAAGCTTCTGCAGGAAACTCTGCAGGAACACAAAGCAGGGTCATAGGAGAAACTCTGCTCTGTGTTTAAAGCAAGGAAGAGAAATTACTCAAGAATGTCAGCAAGCACAGAACCCTGTCTAAGTTATCACACATATGGGTAGAGAGTGACAGTTCTCTTCTTGTCATATAAAAAGGATAGAATCTGGTTTTTAAATTCTATATGATTCAGTCTCTCAGTTCTTGGTCTTATCTAAACCTACCATAATTTTGACAATGTGAAGTAGAAGAGTAAGCCATTACATATTTAGATTAAGTTGGCTTAAAATTTGTCTTCATTTATTGGACCTTTTATCTAAGAAGAGGATAATTTATTAGTATAGTAAAATTATAGAAGTGGTACTTCAGATACCTGAGAGTTAACAACTGTATCTGAAAAGCATTCATTTACAAATATTAAGTGTATATTAAAATACATTCCCCAAATTACATTTTCACACACTATATGGAACATAATACTGTTGGGATTCCTAGTTCCTTTCTTTAAAAAGGCAAATTTTGGAATTCAGAGATGTTAAATAACTTACTCAGCATTATACAGCTAGTTAGTGGCAGAGGTAGAAATGGAATCTAAATTTCTTGAGACTAACAGTCCACAATTCTCTGCTATCATCATGAAGCCAAGATATTATATGTCAGAAGAGTAGTAGCACTATGGGCTGGAGTGGTCAGAGGTTTTTATGAAGGTGCAATTTTAGCTATAATTAGAAGAATGAGTGAGATTTAGATGGGAAAAGATGAGGTGTTAATCCAAATAGGGAACACTGAATGATCAAAAATAGATAAGTAGAACCAAATAAATATAAAGAAGAAGAAATAAGTATCTACTCAGATCAGTTCAAATGATTAGAACAGGAAGTTCTAGTAGAAGGATAATGCAGGTAAATATACTAAAAATTTGAGGCCATATTTTGAAAGGCTTTGCAATCCAGGCAGAACTATCCAATTCTGTCAAAATTGAAGCTTTTTTTTTTTTAGCAAAAATGACATAATAAATGATTATTTTAGAAAGATAATTGAACTGAGATGTATCACATGAGCTATGATGAAGGGGACTGGAAATAAGACCAATACAATTTATTTATTCACTGTTTTTTCAGTCACCAGTAAGTACTGATTCCTCTGAGAATCACCTGGAGATCTTATTGAAAATGATGATTGTGATTCACAAATCTGTGATGGGTTAAGATTTTGCATTTCTAACATGCTTCCAGTTGATACCAAACTGCTGATCCATTGATTGCAGGAAGAAGCAAAGATATAATAAATTCAATCATGTGTTTACCATGAATTCTAAGCCAACTCATATTGAAGATACAAAGTTGAAATAAATAAACATAGATCCTACCACTAAGAAATTATAGCCTAATAGTAAAAATATTTTAGAAAGTTCCCCAGCACTTAATATCATATTTGAAAGTAAAATTAAAAATAAAAAGATTAGCCAGGGCCTGGTGGGGCATGCCTGTAAACCTGACAGCTCAGGAAGCTGGGGCAGGAGGATCACAAGTTCAAAACCCGCCTCCACAACTTAGCAAGGCCTTGAGGAACTCTGCAAGACCCTGTCTCTAAATAAAATACAAGAAAAAGCTGGGGAGTGGCCCAGTGGTTAAGTGCCCCTGAGTTCAGTCCCCACCAATAAAAAAGAAAGATTAAATTAACAGAAATTGTGACTTTTACCACAGAATGATGTCAGCTTTGATTTATCTTCATCTGAATAACAATACTTTGTTGAAATGGAATCTATAAACACAAACTAAATGCCCACAAAACCAGCTATTAGGCCTCTTGCCACAATTTTTATATCCCCCTCTAGCAACATTCTTTCCTCATCTTTATTCTCCATTTGCAGTCTGTTTCTTTTGACTTTTAAATAATTCTTCCTATGCTTATTCCCTAAAAATAACTCTTCCCATGGCTCACCATTAATTTTCTGTCCTTCTGTTTCTTTATGCCAAGGACTCCCAAATCTTATGTCCCTACCCTGAATGTGAAACTAGTCAAGCACAGATATTCCAAATTGTCACAGATTTTTGTGAGTTTATATTCTTTCACTGGCCAACCCATTTCTAGCTGCCTTGAATATGGGATCATGGATGTCCTAGTTTTCTTTTTCCTGTGACTGGTTCAGTAACCTACTAGCCTCCTTTTTGTCCTTCTAGGCAGCATGAGCTATTACAGGGGCAAGAGTCTAAGACACAAAGGAGGAAGTTTGGATAAATATATAAGTACAGAGTACTATATGTGCCAGCTAATAGAGTGAGGCCAGAATTTACTCAAGATATTGGTCATTTGGACATATGTGCATCTCTGATTATTTTTGGGTTTTGGGTTTTGGGTTTTGGTTTTGGTTTTGGTAACAGGGATTAAATTCAGGGGCACTCAACCACTGAGCCACATCCTCAGCCCTATTTTGTATTATATTTAGAGACAAGGTCTCACTGAGTTGCCTAATGCCTCCTAGTTGCTGAGCCTGGCTTTGACTCAAGATCCTCCTACCCCAGCCTCCTGAGCCCTTCTATATAGGCTTGAAGGTGAAGACAGCACTCTGTTAGGTAAAGCAGATTGGGCCAGCAAAATAGAGAGGCTCAAAACCTCAATGTTTGGAAATCTGGGTCTTGTATCCTGAACTATGCGGCATTCTCTTCCCTATACAGATCATATTAAAGACCTCACCCCATTTTCTCTCATTGGCTGCCAGATGATACCTGATTAGAATACTTTCCAGTTCCCCCCATTGTTTACTTTAGAAAACCTAATTAGAATACTGCCATTTTACTCCCATTGGTCATTTTAAAATTTGAACCTATGGCAGGAGTTGTAATGGTAATAAGTCCTCAGTTGTCATGATAATGGGATTTATTTTAAACAGGGATAGGACTGTCTCCTTGTCTTTTCCAACAGCAGCTTCTTTCTAATACTCTGTTTCTGCCATCTGGGTGTCTCTGAACTGAACAAAATGAATCCCTGAAAATTGCACAACGCAAAAGTTTTGTGACTGGGATGACTTGTTTTATATTTCTGAATCTTAGGGGAAAGAAAGAAGTGTAAATTAAAATGGATTTAGAAGGCTATTTTAAATATTGGGGAGCTTCTCTCGGGCTTAAATCTTACACATTTACCTCTTTAATGTAACAAGTGGTAATCATGCTCCAAATATACAGAATCCACTTGAGGAACTTTTTTAAAAATAAAATTCAGCATTAATTGAGTTTAAATCATTCCTAAAACTGTGACGATTGAGTTGTGTTTCTACTTCAGCTTTGATACAGCTTACCAAATGCTGACTTGGACCTTGTAGCCTTTCAAGACCTAAAGAACTGGGAAATTTTAAAAAAGGGTCCCCCTTCTGAAAAACAAAAGCCTGCCCCACTCAAATCATTCTTGGTTTGCTTGCCTCTGTTATAGTCTTGTGTTCTGAATTTGAATTGCTTGCTCTCAACGTTGCCAATTTGTGAAGCTGCCTCTTCACATTAAAGCATGAAGTAGAAGATTAACAAGTACTGAGATAGCAAATTGAGTTCTTACAAAACTAGCACATTTAGCAGAAATTACCAAGATAGACTTAACAGTATGGTGATTACATGGGCAAAGCCCAGGACTTTACAATTTCCAATTTTTGAACCAAATGTGTCCTAACTTCTTAGTGCTTATTTCCTAATGTCCTTAAAGGAATTTTCTAATCATCAAAGAGAAATTAGACTTTAATTTAATTGGTCAATTGGTCTTTATAACTGCCTGCTTTCCTTATGGAATAAACACCCTTTTGTGCTCAAAATGCAAAATTTTAATTTTTAAATCAAAATAATAGATTTATTTTCTGATCACTTTGTCAGCAAACGTCTCTCATTTTCTTTTGATTAACAAAGAATATTCTTCCTACCTTAACAAACTTATGTTTAATGTTGAGATTCTTCATACTATGAAAGATTTTTTTAGTGGCTATTACAGTTGCCTTTCTTAATCCTTAAAAAAATGCTATTATAGTTGATATTTCCATTTCTTCTAATAATAACCTCTAGGTATTATTGTACCTCTAGAAATTATTTTCCTACCCTCACCTCATAAAAAGTAATATCCTCAAGAAAGCCTTTCTTAATTGTCCCAAACCAATTCTGATCATTCTGTCTCACCATTTGTATTTTCATTTTAATTTTTTATATAATTGAATTTAATTAATGATATTATTTTTGCTTATTCATTTTTAAAATTTTTTTCAAATGTTGTTTACACTAGTTTGTTAATTTTCAAACTGGAGGGCTGGGATTGTGGCTTAGCGGTAGAGCGCTCCCCTAGCACAGGTGGGACCTGGGTTTGATCCTCAGCACCACATAAAAATAAAGGTACTGTGTTGTGTCCATATACACCTAAAAAATAAATATTAAAAAAAAGTTTTTTAAATAAAAAATTTTAAAAATATTTTTTAAAAATTCAAACTGGAACCATATTCTCTTTTTTTTCTTTATATGACTCTTTAGCACAAGAACATCTATCGGAATTGATGAAGGGCAAAATGATGACTATATATAGTATAGTTTTATTCCATACATGAAGTAGACACACAGAAAATTTTGTAATTGAGGAATTTATCCTTGACCTTTGAAGAATTAATATATATCCTAAGCTTTTTTGTTATCTTCAAATGATTAACTGTCATTGTTCCTTTTTTTTTTTTTTTTTTTTGGAACTGGGTATTGACCCAAAGATGCTCTACCACTGAGCTTCACCCCCAGCCCTTTGTAATTATTTTGAGATAGGGTCTCACTAAACTGCTGATGCTGTCCTTAAACATGTGATCCTCCTGCCTCAGCCTCCCAAGTAGCTGGAATTACAGATGTGTCACCGCTCCTGGTTCACCATTCCTTAATCTACAAATCCTAGAATTTTTCTCACCATTCAACTGTCATCGTCACTCATCTTAAAATGATACAACTTACAGTTGATGTAACAGATGAAACAGAAAACTAATTAGCAGCTGTTGTCCATCTGTGTGTTTATATTAAATATTTTAAAATAAAAAATGCATTTGCATTCTGAATATGCTGTCTGAAATTTACAAATCCTAAACTTGGGTAAATGCTCTGTCTTGGTTTTGGATTTTGCAGCAGACTAGTAGTAAAGCAAAAAGAAATATATGCCAGAATCAGGATTATAGTCATTTAAGGCAGATTCAAATTTTAAAAAGCAAAAAACTCTTAATGAAGTAGGGCCCCCTATGCAATCAGACTTGCTGATTTGCAAAGCAAAAAAAAAAAATGGTCTATAGTCTCTAAAACACTATACTCTTCCTTCACAGAAACTGATTAGTCCATATAGTTTTGAGAAAGCCACATTCATTCTCTGATACATTTATTTTGAGATATACTTCTCCTTTCTCTTTTTCTAACTATTAAGTTTATACTTCTGTGACATGGGGACTGACTTAGAATTCTAGGAAGGTTGTTACTTTTGTTTTGTTTTTAAATATATATTTTTTTAGTTATAGTTGGACACAATACCTTTATTTTATTTATTTATATGTGGTGCTGAGGATCGAACCCAGGGCCTCGCATGTGCTAGGCGAGCACTCTACCGCTAAGTCACAACCTCAGCCCAAGGATGTTTTTACTTTTGTTGGTAGCCATCTCCCAAGTTGAAAATTAATGGCATGGCTTTAGGAAAAAAAAGATACTTGTATTTTTTTTCCCCTTCACTTAAGTCAAATAATGGAATGGAATGCCCCTAATGTTCACAAAGTGAGAAAAAAAAGAGTTTGATCTAAAAGATAGTATCATATTGCAATGCTCAAATCAGTTTATCCCTCAATGCTTCAGTCTTGATGTGCAAAGAGAATAGTGTTTATGTAACTTTTATTATTTCTATAGACTTACAATATCTTAAAATTAAAAGGAACTTCTATTATCAACTAGTCCAGCCTTTACTCAATAGAGAAATTAAGAAAAATCCCTTCCTGGTAGCCATCAGGTTTTTGTTTTGAGGTTTGTTTATTTATTTGTTTGTTTGTTTGTTTGTTTGGTACCAGGGATTGAACTCAGGGGCACTTAACTACTGAGCCATATCCCATGCCCTTGTTTTAATTTGTTTTTTAATGAAAAGATTGCATTTCCTCATGAGGCAGCACATTCTCTTGTTGGGTGACTATCTAGAAAGGAAGATTTTTCATGACACTGAGCCAAAGTCTTTCTTCCTGTTTCTTCCATCCATTAGTCCTAACTCTGCCCTTTGAAGCAATACCAAATAAATTCACTCACCCTTTTCATGATAGCCTTTCAGATATTTTAATACACAGTCCTGTTTTGCATTAATATCTTCTCAAAGAAGAAACCATGATTATGTAAATGTTAAGTAGCATCTTCTGCTCCATGGTCAGACAGTATTTTCTACAATATTGTTACAAATGTAATAACTAACTACTCTTTATTCCCAAAGCTACTACAGAGAGGTTGACTTGAATTCAGGGTTCAATCAACACCTTTACAGAGTGGCCACAGTGTACAAAGATTTGGCAGTTTAGTCACCAAGCCTAAACGAGATGAGATGAGATGAGACCATCCTATAAGACAGATATACTTTACAGATTTACCTTTTATCACAATTTGTTGACTCTCTTTATCCTTTTTTGTTCTTTTGACATTAAAATCCATTTTAACATTAACATTGGCACTCCTGTTTTTTACTCATTAACATTTGCCTCGTGACTTTTTGCCCTACTTGTTATTTTCAGTCTTTTATTTCTTAAGTCTGTCCCTTATAAATCATATTAAAATGGGATTTGAGATTAAAACAAAAAATCTAATTTTTATTTGCCTTAAATTACTGTAACTCTAGCATAAAATTCTTTTTGCTTTACCCAAATGTGCTATAAATAGTGCCCATTATTTTTTTTGCTTCTATCTTACTTTTTATTATGAATTATGCAACTTTATTATTTCTAACTTTCCTTTCCTCTGTTGTGGTTAGACTCAGACACTACTTGCTATCCTTTATCACCTTATTATTTTGGAAGTCATGCTATATCTTCTAATTCCCTTCATGTTCCCCTTCCAATTAGTGATACTCATAATCAAATATATATTTATTCATTATTATATAAAAACAAGGTGCTGACTATATCGCTCCCACAAGATGTACTTATTTCTCTTGTGCACTCCCTGCATCAATTAGGCAGTAACATTAGAGTACTTTTACATTCCATCTCCTCCCAATCTCTCAACTTTTAGGTAATTCTGAGTAATGCTTTATATAAATGCTTTAGAATGTTTTTAATTCTAGAGTATTATTATAAGTATTATTTTATAGTAAATCTCTATAACTTCAGGAATTCATATTTAAAACACAATTATAACTACCCAATTTATTCAATCATTATCCATTTAGATTTAGCTATATATTTTTATAAATGAGTGAATATGTGTCTCTGTGTGTATTTCAGTACTGTTTTCTCTCCGTCTATCTTCCCCTATCTTGGGATTTCTATTTTGATTGACTTTTTTATTTACAATCACTTTTCTAGAACATTACTTGATTTGTTATGTGAATGTTTGCATTTTAACAAATATTCTTCTATCCTGACTGGTGAAGGTGTGTGACTGGGTACAGTATTTGGGGGTTGTACACCTTTATTCTGAGAGAAATGTTGATGTTAATTTACTATTTTCCAGTTTTTTTATATTATAGATAAGAAGCCCAAGGCCAATATCATTTTTCCTTTGTTACTAACCAATCTTTCTATCTGGCAGCTTTTTAAGATTTAAAAGTTATTCTTAAAATTACAAAATTTTATCAGAACATGCTTAGATTTGTATTTTTTCACAGTCCTTACCTGGACTTATAGACCTTTTCATTCTTCAAGTCCAGCTCTTTCCAAATAAATGAAATTTTCCTATTCCCCCCCCCTCCTTTTTCTCCTTATTCCTGTTTGTCTTATATCAGTCTCTTGCTGTGTCCTCCAAGTTTCTTATTATTTTCTGTATGACTTCCATCTTTTTGTATTTTTATACAATCCTTGGAGATACAACACATGATCTTCTAGACCACTAATTGAGTTTTCCATGGAGACTATGCTCACCTCTATCTACTAAATTTGAATTTTTTTTGTTTGTTTTATAACACCCTTCTAATGTTGAAATTGAATATCCATTAGTGTTTTTTGTGTTGTTATAATTATTGCTGTTCTTAAATTATCTCTTCTCCCAGGCTTTTATTTCATTAGGAGCTGTACTAAATGTTGTGCTTATTCTTCTAGCTTCCAGTTTTGGCTTCTTATATTCACAGTGTTTTCCTTTTTTTATTGAAAGTCCTGTTTACCCTAAGGGTTCAAGAAGCTGGTAGGGCACTTTGGACCTCATATGCATGCCATCACAGTGGTAAAGAGGATCACAAGTGGTAAAAGGTATCTTACATAAGGGTCCAGTCTCATGAGAATCTTGCTTTTATTACATATCATATGCCTGGGGAAAAAATGCACAATCACTTCTGATTAGGGAGGGAATAAAACAAACATGAGGAGGTAGAGGTTGTGATTCTAGCCAGTTCTGCCACTTACTGCTTTGTCTAGATTTTAATATGCTACTTTGCCTATCTGAATATCACTTTCTTTTTCTATAAAATGGATATAATAATACTCAGTTTACTTCATGGATTTACTATGAGGTAATAAGTGAAGATCTAGTATGCAACATAAATGAAGTTATAGATCATTTTAAGTGTTGTCAGATCTGCATCTGTAGCACCCATGATTTTTGACCAGATCCTCAAACACCAGAGTATGTAGCAGAAAGTAGAGTGAGAGAGAGGGACAAATAAGAACAGAGAAGAGCAGGATCCAAATAAAAGGCCCAGCTGTGATGATGGACAAGATAACCTTTCCAACTTCAGAGTCAATGACTTTATTAATCTACTGGCCACAGAGTAGAAAGTAGCACTGAGCATACTCTTTGAAACATGGTATATTATAGTAAAGATTATGAACAAAATCCCTTCTAATTTATTTCTGCAAATTAGAAAATTTATGTGGACAGTTGATGACTCCACAGTTTTATAAAATAGGAAAAAACTTTCTGGATAATATGAAAATAATGAATTTTTGAAATCACTGAAAAATATGTTTATTTCTAATCATCAGCTAAAGAACCATACTTTATCCACCTACAAAGACTACTAGTACCCTGATGATATACATATCATTGCTTCTTTGTTTCTATTGGCTTTACAGCAATCCTAATAGAATTGATGTTATAAATTATATATTTTGAGTTTGATGAAATTAGTTAATGTTTCTTTGTAACTGCAGAAAATCATATTTTGTTGATAATATTCATTAGCCACTCACCCGAACCACAGTCTACATGGTGCTTTCCCCACTTACTCCATTGTTTATTCATTTGGCTCAATTCAATGATAATGTGATCCAGAAAGGCAAGGAGTCCAGAACTCTGAGCATCAGGAACCTATCATATGTATATCACATAGTGCTTCCATACAATATATTGATTTTGCCTTTCTTTTTCCCTAAAGCAAAATTAAAAGGATTAATGAGAAATATGTTCAAAATACTTGATTCAAAAATACTTTCAATATACCCATTATTCAGTATGATTCTTCTTAGATATTTGCCCAAACAGCTAATTTCAAATGTATATCATGAATTTTTTTAAAGTTTCTAATTTTATACATAGATTTTACTTTCAGGGAATAGCTGGGTAATTTTGTGGTTGCATAAACAATTAACTGAATGACTCGAAAGGGTCCCTATATTGGTAGGATGGACCTTATGTGAGCCATTTTTCAAACTTTTACTTTTGTTCCTTCTTCTTGGGAGATTACTTCCCAGAGCCAGAACAATCCCAGTATACCCTTGGACATGCCAATCTAAAGGACAAGGAAATTTTACTCATACCCTGTAGTAAATGAAACTATTCAAACTCGACGTGGCCTATCTTGCCCTTTGGACTTTCCACATGACATTCTGTGAATATATTTACATCCCAATCTAAGATTTTCTTCTGTTAGTCATAGGTATTCTCCAGAATAAAAACTGCCCAGGTGCTAAAGTTGTATTTTTCCAGGTTGTTGTGTATGTTCATGTGCTTAACTTCTGTTTTAATCAGCTTTTTTGCTGCTATGACGAGAAGACCTGACAAAATTCTAGAGGAGGAAAAGTGTATTTAGCACTCACAGTTTCAGAGGTCTCAGTCCATAGATAACCAACTCCAGTACTCTGTGCCCAAGGTAAGGCAGAACATCTGAAGAAGGATGTGGAAGAGGAAAGTTGCTCAGGACATGACAATCAGTAAGCAGAGAGACTAAGCTTTGCTCACCAGAGACAAAATATGTACCCCAACGGCATTCTTCCAATGACCTACCTTCTCCATCCACATCTTACCTGCCTACAGTTATCACCCAGTTAATCCCTATCAGTGGATTAATGTACTTATTAGGTTAAGGCTGTCATGCAATTATTTCAGCTCTAAACTTTCTTGCATTGTCTCCACTTAAGCTTTTGGAGAATACTTCATATCTAAACCATAACAACTTCTGTCAGTTCGACAGCAATAGTAATGGCAACCTCTATGCTTTCTTTAAAACTTAATTTGCTCAAGGTACTATTCTAAGTGCTTTATATATGTTATGCTATTAAGTCCTCATAACAATTCTATTATCCCTACTTTACTTAGAGAAAAATGAGGCAAAGAGAAGGTAATCAACTTGTCCAAGGTTTGACATCTAGCAAGTAGTGGTGCCAGAATTCAAGTTCAGGCAGTCTGACTCTAGAGTCCATGGTACTAATCTCTGTGCTATGCCACCTACCAACTAGCTTATCTCATAAAGTCTATGAAGGTTGTGTATTTGATAGATATTAGGTTCCTCTTCTCCCCTCTCTCATGCCTGTATAAAAAAGTAAAATGATATTCTTGTTATAGTTCTTACCATCTGTAGTCCCTGACTTTCCTTCTTCCTCTCTTACTAAGTTGTGCATTAAAGTGAAGGGACATTAAGCTTCACAGTCATGAGAAATTTGGAAAAACATATGCTGTCTCATTTAGAGATCACTTGATTTCAAATAACAATCTGCTGAAGTTAGCTTTACAGAAGAGGGACTTCAAATAATGGGAGGATAGAGAGTTATCTGATGGAATTCAAGAGCAAAAATACAGCTCAGCCTCAAGAGGGACTAAAAGCAGAAACTAGAAAACCAGAAGCCAGTATCATTTCCTTTTCAGATGACCATGTTAGATATCTATGGAGGAGAAGGGAAAAGAAGTCAAGTAATATAAAGGGAAATACCATCTCCTCTATCTTAGAAGTTCTCAGAAAAACAAGAGACTGAACATGTAGTCCTCAAAGACACTTTTTCTATACTCCATCAGTTAAAGGGAAATTCTAGGTTCAGGTCACATTGCCCAGGAACTGTATTTGGATTTAAAGTAGTTTAACAGTTCCTTTCAGCTGCGCTCTGCCATCCAGTCCCTCCTTAAGTTCTAATTTTGTTTATTTTCACTTCATGAATCCCAAGATAGGGATGTTTTACAACCCTCTTAACATGCAATAATGAGGACCTTCATCTTTTTCATCTCTTTCCCCAGGCCTTTCATATATGTCATCAAAGGGCCTGGTGCACTTGCCTTTTCTGCTGACAGTCAAGAATGTGCTTAGTATCAATCCCTAAGATTCATCCTGAACTTTTATCCTCTCAGAAAAGTTCATTACAGCCTCTGCCTTCCTTATCCTTTTTCTTTTTTTTTTTCTCTCTACCTTTTCTTTTCCCAATAAATACCTATGGGCTCTTCATATTTCTAGGGATTCCCCCTCTATGTCCTGTTAGATGAACTCCTTGTTCTTGAATGTGAGGATATTCCTAGACAATCCAAAAAAAATCATACCTTACCCTGTCTAAACCAGTCATTTCCAGTCAAGTCTGTTACTCTAGTCAAACCATCATCCACATCAACCTAGGTAACAGAAGAGATTTAATCACTGTTCCAGCTCTTGATAGCGCAGATCCTCTTGCATACAAAGCCCTTTCCTATTCCTGCCCATTTATCAAAATCCAGTCCATTTCTCAGGGGCTCACTTAAGTCACTCCCTCTAATGAGACTTATGGGATCTTTCCAACATCTAGCATGACTAACTATCCTGGTTTGCCTGGGATTTGCGAAGACATGTGACTTTTAGCACTGAAACTAGGATATTCCTAGACAATCCAAAACTGTTAGACATCCTATAACACCACACTGGCTCCCCTCATTGGACAGCCTTGCTGAGACAAAAACACTGTGAAAGCACCAGTAGTCACTACTTCAACATTTACAAGATCCTTTTTCCACAATAAGACGAATTCTTCTATTGATCAGAGACACTTTTAATTTTCACTTCATGCAAAATCTATTGCTGTACTCATGGTAATGCCTACTCAGTGAATAAGGTGGTTCAGTTTTAAGTTGGCACTATATCTAATGTGTATTAATAATTTATTTGTCTTTATTTTTTCCAGCCCAGATGACTTACTCAATGCCTTGAATGAGGGTATCAGTCGTGCTGATGTCATCATCACATCAGGGGGCGTATCCATGGGGGAAAAGGTATGAAAAATGGGCTCATAAAGATCTATCCCCTTTAACATTCTTGCCTATGGTCATTTAACTGTGGTCTGGTATTTGTAACCAGTCCCCCATAAAGCTGAAAGCCCATGGGCCTTCAGAAATTACTTGTCTCTACAAAAAGAATACAGTGCACATAGGTCAGAGAGCATACCTCAGGAACAGCCTAGAGAATCTTGAAACTTGCAGAATGCTTTTTTGGTGTTTTGATTTTGTTTGTTTTTCTTTTGCCCTGGAGACTTCTGTTTTTTGTTTGGTTGTCATGAATTTTAGTATATTAGGACTTCCTTTTTGTATGATATTTATGCCCAAGGTAAAGCTCCAATGTCTTCCCTTCTACTAAGTTTTTTTTTTTTTTTTTTTAGGTGCTAGAGATTGAACCTGGGGCCTATGCATGCACTAAACCTATAAGCTGCACCCCAAGACGTCCACTTAAATTAAAACATAATCTCCTAGAGCCAACCATATATCTCACTCACCACATATTTATTGCAGACCTTACAAGATCCTTTAGCTCACCTTCCCAGAAGTGAAAGAAAGAAAAAAATAAACATTCCTTTTGCCCTTCTTTTTATAATAATAATGTAATGAATATATGTGTAAATACAGGAATATGTATGATTTCTTGGGGCTAAGTATATGTGTACATGGTATGTGCTTAGTCCTATAAAAATCCCAATGTGAATATTTTGGCATCATTAAGTTTATATATCTTAATGAAATGTGTTAGCTGTGATGATTATTGGATCCATGAATAATGGTCTCCACTCCTCATACTGGGAATTGAACCTAGGGCCTCACACTTGCTGAGCTATATTTTCAGCCTTTTTTATTTTATTTTGAGACAGAATCTTGCTAAATTGCTCAGGCTGGCTTCAAACATATGATCCTCCTGCCTCAGCCTCCCAAGTAGCTGGGATTAAAGGCATGTACCACCATACCCAGCCTGAATGTTATTAAAGTAAAATATTCTTTACTGCAATAACCAACTTATGTTTTAGCTCAAAAATATTTCAGATCACAGAAATATAAAATATATATTATAGTTTATAATCCCTTCCCATTGTTTTCTTTTATCTCATGTTAATCTTAAACTGAAAATTATAACAAGATTCATTTTTTTTAAGAATATGATTTATTTTAAACTGTATTTTACATGTAGTATATATTTAGCATTTATACACTTGTTCTTAGTCCCTGCCCACTGTAGTTACAAAACTGCCTAAATTTATAATCTGCCTCTTTAGACAGTGAACTTTAAGAGCAAATGTTAGAATTTGAGAGCATTGGCTTTACACCCTGAACAAGGAATTACTGACTTCCATTCGCAAACTTTAGTGTTAGAGTATTTGAGAATAGCACTTGCTTCCAAAAACTAAAGAAAAAAAAAGAATCTCAGTTCAAGAGTACAATCTCAAATTACATTCAGGTGTGAGAATATTGAAGCATAGGTAAGTATTCTCAGATAGGTGGCTGGGTTAGTCTTTCCTCCAAGTCTCCCAGAAGTCTTTAGCTCCAAGTAGAGCCAGTTGCTTCGGACTATAAAAAATAATTTGCAACTTGTCTATTTTCATTACTACAAGATTGCTCTCAGTATCACAAGAGCATATCCTGAAGCCAGGATTATTTATATGACAAATTTGTTATTTTCAGGGATTGTTTCATATAGGGTTTGTCTTAATTTCTAATGAATTTAATTGTGGGATAATACTTATTTGACAGACGTAAAGTTTATCTTTTCTAATACTTCTAGAGAGGCAAGAAGCTTATAGCACACATGGGCTTGGCAGTATGGCTCAACCTTAGAAAGGACAGAACACTTGTGAACCTAACCTTCCTCATTATTGTTAACAAAGATGTCAATTATCCTAGGGATTTGCTTACAAATAAACTACAAGTAAATAAGGCCAACATAATAAAGTATATTGGTTTTATGTATGTTATATTCTGTGCAGTTAGACACTTACACCGTTAATTTACTAAGAGAGAGATTTTAGGACCTGGGCCTGCCAAAGTATGCCCTAGGAGCTTATAATTGTCTTTATTACCTTCTGAACTACAATGAGATGATAGAGGAACCAGGAAGAAAGAAGTAAAACATGCAGCAAACTCCTGCCAATTATATTCCCAAAAAGAAATTCATTGTACTTTGGTAGCAGAAAGAAAAGCCTGAAAACCAGTCACTGAAAAGACAGGGAGATAAAGGAAGATCCAGAGGCATTATGTAGAAGACACACATGAATCTTAAGTGTAAAAATTTAAGTATGCAAGAAATTTATTTGATTAAATTATACTCTAATCACCTATTCAACAGAACTGGCAGGAAATTTTATTTAAGCCACAACTGAGACCCACTTCCTCCAAGAATTATGCCAAAGAATCTGGAGGAGCTCAAGCAGCATGAAAGCATCAGGGAAACACATCTGGCCTAATCTATACTGTAAATGTCCAGAGTGTTCTTATGTGCCCTTCAATCTCAGGTCTTTGCTCCTTTGGGCCATGCTACCAGCATTAGGATGGTTGTGAGGTGGGGAGCCTCAGGGCAGCCAGCATTCTTTCCTTCAGCCATCTCTTCTGAAGTCTGGCCACCTCCCCAGAAAATTACCTGCTAAGCAGAGTGGAAGGAGAGGCCCCTGCTGCTTGCAGAACCCACAGAATTCTGTCCTCTTACCTGCCAAGAAGAAATGACTCTTCCACCATTGCTTATTGCTTCCCTACAGATCTTCTCATCCTGCCCCCACACAGCTTTTTCACAGTTTTCATCTTTATTCAACACTGAAAGTTTTCAGTTAAATGTAAATAATAACTGCTTTTTGCCTTGAAAACTAAAGAATCATATGCATTACTGTAAGTTGTTCACACCCTACAAAATGATAAAATAGTTCAAAGATAATGAAATATGCCAGAAGGATACCTAAATTGACAGCAGTAATCTTTTTTGCCCATTTCAAAGTCTCTTACTTTTGCCCAACAGTGTCTCCACCACCCAGATGATCAAAGTATCTCAGATATTATTATTGAACACAAAAAAGGGTTAATCTCAGTAGGTTTAGCCAGATTTGAACACAAGAGTATTAATTGACCATATAAGCCTTCTTTGTTTTCCAAATCTAGAGCAATGCAGCCACAAAATGTTTTAAACTAATTACCAATATCCCAAATAAATATACACAGTAAAATCTTCCTTACGCTTCATTCAGTCCTATGTCTTCTTGTTCTGTTAGATCTTGGGTTAGCAGTTTAATTTTCATGAAACTATCTGCTTACAAACAAAAGAGCTCTGGAATTCCTGATTCAGTCCACTGCTGTGGAATAAAAGTTATCCAAAGTTTATCAATACAGAAACTGTATCCAAGAGGCTATTCTTTGAAATGTCTGTAATTTAGTGTACCTATTATAGTCCTTTTCAATAGTGCACTGAATCTGTCTTGTCCCAGACACATATTATCAACTTGCTTATCATAGCCTTCAGACAAACATTAGAATAAAACAAACTTTCTATAGATAATGAATTCTCAATGACTGTTTAATTTGCCAATAAGTAAAACTGTGTATTGGGATATATTTTATAACTCGGTGTGTGTGTGTTTTCTGTTTTTGCAGTGCTAGGGATCAAATGCAGAGCTTCATGCATGCTAGAAAAGTGCTCTGCCACTGAGCTAATCCCCAGCTCAATTTCATAAATGTTTTGCTCACTGTTTCCCTGAGAGAAAAACAGGGAGGACGTTGTCAAATCTCCAGAGACTTTCCATAAAGCAAACAATTTGAAAATCTTTGTATTCTTACAATTTTACCTATATGAATCTAACCTAGGGCAGACTGAGCTTCTCAGATATAACAGCTCTTAAAATAGTAGCACATCAAACAAACCTAATTATTTCCAGCATCTTTTTTGTTGGTTTATTTAATTTATTTTGTAGTTGGACACAATACCTTTATTTCACTTATTTTTTTATTTTTTATGTGGTGCTGAGGATGGAAACCAGGGTCTCACACGTTCGAGGCAAGCACTCTGCCGCTAAGTCACAACTCCAGCCCCACTCCAGCATGTCTTCTTATGAGAAAACATACCTGTGATTTTTCTGGTTAAGAATTCTTTTTCTTTTTTCCCCTACTGAGGATTAAACTTAGGGTGCTTCACCACAAGGCCACATGCCTGGCCCTTTTCATTTTTTTATTTGAGACAGGGCCTTGCTAAGTTGCTGAGGCTGTCCTAGAACTTTCAATCCTGCCTCCTGCCTAACCTCCTAAATTACTGGGATTATAGGCATGCACTACCACACCCAATTTATCTAGGAAATTTCAAAGATTTTAGAGGTAAAAGATACTCTGAATTTTTCCCCCTAAATTTAGGTCTGACTTTTAGAAAACAAAATCAAAGGAGTTATCAAAAGAGAAATGGGTACTTGATTATGATAGGATCATATGTATTTAAGAATTACTTAGTTACCTAATTTTTCAAAGCAACACTGAAATATTTGAAAATAACATGTTTGTAAATAACATGTTTTTAATGTTTGACTCATTCATACATGAGGAATCTTTGTTCTTTGCTTTTTATTTTTTTTTAATTTTTTTTAGTTGTTGTCGAACATAATACCTTTATTTATTTATTTATTTATTTATATTTTTTTTATGTGGTGCTGAGGATCTAACCCAGCACCTTACACATACTAGGTGAGCGCTCTACTACTAAGCCAAAACCCCAGCCCCGCTTTTTTATTTCTTAGAGACAAAATAAACATAAAGCACAAAAGGCAGAATACACAATAATAAAAGCTTTTCATATAATAGAGAAAGCATTAATTAATACCCCCCAAAAAGCAAGAGGATCTTCTAGGCCAGCTTCAGCAACTTAGCAAGGTTGTAGGTAACTTAGCAAGACCCT